AAGAGATCAATTTCATCCATGTCAATGCGTTGTCTCAAGTCTTTTACTGTTTTACTCCAAGATGGGTGCAGACTGGACAGAAATCTAGTATTCAGTTCCAGGTTGGTTCTGAATATTTTGATTTTCCTCATTTCATTCATCAACTTCACAAGCCTGGCATGAGTCTCGTGAAGAGGTTCTCCAGGAGCAGCCTTGAACGAGTCATAAGCCATTAAAATAGCAGATTTCTTTGTTTTTAGGCTTATGCTCGTGCCCTGGAGTAATTTTTCAATCTCGTCCCACATTTCTTTTGCAGTTTGCATACTGTCAATCATCACATACACTTCATTTGGAATGGCTTGGAGAAGGTATGTTTTGGCCATGAGGTCTCCTCTCAGCCTTAGCTTGTCTGCTTCAGTGTATTCAGAAGGCCTCTTTCGTCTTGTTTCAGGAGGAATGGGTGGATTATTTGTTGAGTCCCCTCCTACGTCAATCATTAGTACCGCTGGTCCTTCCAGGAGTGATTCCAGCATAGCGTCGGAGTTTTCTTTGTGTTCTAGGAAATTCAAGAAACGAGTTCTCCACATTTGGTACTCCCCTTTCCTCAGAGATGGAGGAGTACTGCTATTTCCTTGCGCATTAGATTCAGAAGCCATTCCTGTTGCTGTAGAAAACTGACCGTTCGAGAAATAAGATCAGAAAATTTACTAAGTCAAGAACTCGAGTTCCTGAGTGTTCAAAGCATAAACTCGAGGTCTGGGGAACTCGAGATGAGAGTTCGAGTTTGTGAACTCGAGGTCAAGAGCTCGAGTTTCTAAGAACTCGAGGTGTAAACTCGCAGGGTCAAAACTCGTGGTCAGACTGCGAGTTTGCAGGCTGCGAGTTTGTTGAGTGCGAGTTTGTTGAGTGCGAGTTGAAGGCTGCGAGTTCTTGAGCTCGAGTTTGCAGGCTGCGAGTTTCTCAACTCGAGTTTACAGGCTGCGAGTTTATGCAAAAACACCTGGCTGCGAATTCCTGAAAAAATAAAACTTCAAATTTTCAGAGATACAAATATGGTAGGTTGTAGCCCTTGTAGTAGAGATCCTTTTACCCAAGTTTCAGGTCAAAAAGCTGCACAGAGCTTAGAGAAACGAGGGGTGCGAGTTCAAGGGTGCGAGTTTACTTCTGAAGAAAAATTGCAGAAACGAAAAAGGAAGATATACTGCTTGATCGTCTTTGAAACGCGATTCTAACAGTATAACTTTTACAGTATTTGGTGCAGAATTAAGATTACAGATGATAAACTCGCTATTCTATAAAAATAGTCTTTCGCAGATAGTTCTTCTGATCAGCTCTCGATCGGCTCTGATACCATTTGTTGTTCCCTGTTTTCTATAACAACAGTATAATATGGCATACAGATGAAAGATTAACAATAAAGATGAACACAGAAAGATCAAGTGAAAACCTTTTCTGATATACCGTGAATCTTTCGTACAAGAATGATAGGCGCTAAGGCTATTTTGAGCAGATACGAAAGTTAACTGCAAACCTGAGTCCTCCTCCCTCTTTTATAGGCGAGGCTCAGGTATGCGTACAAAGGCTTCTTGCCTGAGTATGGGCCTAACACTTGGCCCATATTGTATACTATTCTAACAGATATATTTAATCAGTACAGAATAGAAATAGTAAACATCTAACTTATTACAGACAAGACAGACAAACTTGATTCACAATAAATAGTCTTCAACAACCTAAATCAACAATTTTTACGTTTCAATTTTATCATATTTTTCCTAATCTATGAGCCCAAAAGTTTTGTCAATATCAAGTTGGATTGGAGGTAGTATCTAATATATTGGACCTTACATTTTACTCTGTATTAGTTATGGGTGACATGAAACAAATCCCCAGAGCAAAGAGGAGTTTAAATTGGTGAATCGGAATGGAAATCATATTCTCCCTGGCGGAGCTAATCATACCACAAAAATAAGGATTCTTGGATCTCAAAACTCATACTTAAATGATCTAATGATATGATGTTTATAAAACCTCCTTTAAGTCTATTATTAGATGCATGTCTTACCTATGATGTTAAATTATCACTTCACTTCGTTTCACTCAATTGAGTAAGAAGATGTTAGGTGTGAAGTTAAAATAGTAAAAACCGTGTTATTGAGGTTTGTGCAGAGGAGAGATAAATGAACAAAACCACAAATTCATTGTTTTAAACGGAAAGTTCATGGTAAAGATTTTTTGGAAAAACAAAAAATGAAAGTTGGTAAAATCCAGTAGAACAGAAAGAGTATTTGATTATTTAAGATCATACTACCTAAATCTCATTTTAGTTAGCCATCTTTGAACTTTCCAATAAAAAATGGTAATCTTTGACCAATTATTTTAACTAATATATTAATTGCAAAATTCAATAATTTTATATTTTTATGATGATATTTTTGACAAATAACATTTTCATACTAATTTCATATTATTAATACGTCTTTATAAAAAGATATAATTTGTTAAAAATAGACACCATTGACTTGAAAACTCAAGTCTACCTAACTAACGAGGTAGACACATTTTCAATCAAATACATTGCTTTTGGAACTTATTACAATGTCATTGATCCCTAGATTTATAAATAAAACAAAGACGAATATTGAATCTGGAATGGTAAAGCTAGAAAGAGAGTCGACTCAAGAAGTGGGTTGAAGAGGATTAATATATGTGTTGACAAGGGTGGTGCTATCAATAACACTAATAAAGTGATCTATAAACAAGTTTTTGAAAACTTATGATACTTTTTGCATGTACATGGTCAACGTACGTTTGTGATTCTTCTATTTTGTAGTTTTATGAAATCTACTAATAATTGTACTATCATTTATTTCATTGTCACCTAAAGCATAGTTACACCATATCGTTTATTTTATTTTTACTTAGATTTTGTTATACCATCCAAATTTCCTTTTTCTTACATCTACATTAATACAGTCAAAGCTACAACATCTAAACTTAATGGTCTTTTTTAGTTGACAAAAGTACACATTAAGTATCATCGCAATAAAACGTAATTAAATACGTTGTTATACTATTCTAGATACACCCCGTGCATCGCATGGGTAGTTCGTCTAGTTATAATAATAACTGTTGTTATAAATAAAACAATTTCATTATATTTTGATGTCATTAATATTATTATATGTGGTTATTGTTGTATATTCATTCATCACCTTTCCAAAAGACAAGAATCATGTGCAAAATTTGTACTTCAATCTTGGGGAGTTCATCAATCACCATGATGATCAAGAACCATTTAATGATGTAGAAAGACAAGAAGATAATGTTTACACATGTTGGACTGTTATTAAAAAGTTAGTGTTTACGCATGGTCAACTTTATGTGGCAGTATCAAGAGTAACAAATCGTAATAGTTTGAAAATATTAATTTGCCCTAAAGATGGAGAGCAAATCGATCATACTATCAATGTTGTTTACAAGGAAGTGTTTCAAAAATGTGGAAATTGTAGAAATCTCATTGTAATACTTCGTATTTTTTTAAGTCTTTGTTTCTACTTATTCCAAATCTTACTTCTACTAATGCTCGAGTCTTAACAATCGGTTCCTAATTAAAATTTATTATTTATATTAAGTCTCATCTATTTCCATACATTTATACACTAATTAAAAATATTAACAAATATGGAAATATAATCATTACACTATTTATGTCAAGCGCATCACGCGGCTGAAAATCTAGTTTTGAACCAAAGTAGTCAACTTATTCTCATAAAACATATTTTGTCCTACACTCTCATTCATCAACTTGCTACAGAAAACATCCAAAAATCAATTCAAAAGATTTTGAACAAAAAAATGCTAAACTTTTTCTGGGGACTTTCTGATCAGAAACATAAATATCATTGTAAAAATAGGAATAAAATAAGTAGTGCAGCACAGGAGGGAGCTCTCAACATCAGAGTTATTCAGGATATCCAAAAATCTTTTCATATGGAAGCTTGATGGGCATGGAATGTGAAGGTAAATCTCTTTGGGCACATTCCACGTAAAAAAAACATATCCTAGAAATGGGGATGTGTGACCTAAACCTAATCTGTTAAGAGAATATCCTGTTTGGAAGCAAATATGTAGAATAAGCAATTTCAGGGAAGAATTAATTGAAAGTGATGCTTATCAAAATCTCATATGGCACCAGATTCTTGATAACCAGAATCTACAGAAGTTTTATGCTTGGAAACCCGCAACCCATACAAAAGCTTGATATTAAAATTTTTCTATAGAATATTTTAAATTCATACCTTCTTTTCCCGGAACATCTTCACAAATTCCCAGTCCAACAAGCTTCAAGATATCCTTTTTATCACAAAGCCCAATGATCCCACTGTTTGTATACATGTGTCAAGAGAAGGGGTATTTAGGATTACTTCATGGGAATTATGCTTGTGTATAAAGCAACAAATACAAATCTTCGGAAATGCTCATTGGATGATGGCTTGCATCAAATAATAATAATTTGGAATGCATTTTAAGAAATATTCTCCCAGGAATCATTCTTCGGTTCATCAGGAAAGGTTGTAACAAGATTATTTGGAAAGAACATCAGGTGGAGGAAGGAGAAGTTATTTGCAAAATCAAATCTTTTTGTCAGCAATGGGTTTCCACTCAATTTGCATACATCTTTGTTGACTGCAACAAAGATCTTGTTCAAGAAGGCACCACTTCTAGAACATTAAAGAAAGGAAGGACTAAATATCTTATCGGGAAGGACACGAATCTATATAGACTCCGTTTCAGTATTGGTGCGGGATTTAAGGATGGAAAAAACGTGGATGGATCGATCCTCTGAGATGATAGAGGCAACATGTTTGTAGTTTTACCATTCCAGATTAAAGCTCAGTCTAATCTTCAAGCTGAATTTAGGCAGCTCTTAACGTTCTTGGCAGGTGTGTTAAGAATGGTTTCACTGACCTTCAATTGGAAATAGACTCAGAGACGTTGACTAAGCTACTGAAGAAAGTTTCTGAGTGACCCGTCGTTGGTGGCTGGAAATTTTAGGTACGAATATTAAGGCCCAGTACTCGCAAAGCAGACCCGACCCAAACGCAAGATTGTTACAGTGCAGCCATGCAGGGAATTATATTCAAAGAAGAGTATTTTTCTTCCCAAAATATAACCACAAATTCTATTTTAGAATCTTATCTATGTTTTAATCCTTTTTGAGCAATTTCTATATCATATATATATACATCTATGAAACACGAATGCTCTACCAAAACTCTTTTCAAACTCCTCAAACACTTGTTTTATCAATACTTGGCTTTTTCCATATTTTGTTTCCACTTTTTTTTATTTTCCTAAGCATTTTGCCTTCCAAGTGTTTTCTTTGTACAGTTGTCTGACTTGTCTCCTGTTCCAAATGGGGCCTAAATAAGTCAAAGGAAAGTAACACAAGAAAAAATGAATAAAAAATGTTGTTTGAATGAGTCATTTGAAATGCATCGTATGAATTGAAAGGGAATGCAAAGAGGGTGAAAATGATTCTGATGTAAAAATATTAGAAGCATCAGATTTTCTTCAATATCGCTTAGCTAAGGATGTTATCGGTAAACTTCTATCATTTAAATGCACTCCAGTCTGGGATGATGGCCAGATTGGTGAGCCAAAAGTTTGCAAAGGCCAAGAAAGTGGTCACCCAGGATTCCAGGAACACAGAGATTGCTTTCCTTACAAATAGTTGAAATCCCTACAGATTCGTGTTATTTACTTTCACTGGATGATGTTGGCTATTTCATATTTGTATCTAGTGAACCTGTCTGTCGTGATTGGGCATGGGGTGCTCTTGTTCTTTCAGAGCAAGTTGGACCCATCCTTCCGGGGCCACCAACTTGGCTTTCGCTCGAATCTGATGGACCTTTGACTGAAGGGGAACGTGTTAGTTTCGAGGTTTCTTATACTGGCGGGGAGATGGGTGAATGCTCAGGTGAATGGTTTCCAGTAAAGAGTGGTGGTGTCAAAGATAAAATCAGTTGTAGTTACTTTTTGAATTTGACTATTGATGATGTTGAAAAGTGCATAGAACTTATTTACACTCCTATAAGGAAAGATGGGATGAAAGGAAGCCCCAGAGTATCTTGTCTGGACCAGTAGAGCCTGGGAAACCAAAAGAAGTTGAATTAACATTTCTCGAATGCTATGAAGGCAAGAAGGTCTTTCCTGAAAAGAGACTTTTTGGAGGTAAAGAAGGGACTGGAGAGCATACATGGTTTAGAACAAAGGATAAGATTCATGGAGCCGCACTGCTAGATACACCGTACAATGGAAAATTTGACTTTATTCGGCCTTCCAACGTGCGTCGATGGAAAATTTGGAAATGCATTGGTTTCCATTCGTGAAATTCTTGTTTCTACTATTCCTCCAGTCATTTCCAATGTTCATACTGCGTATGTTACATTATATACGTATGAATTAGTAAAAATTCATCATAAAATTGTTGGGTAATACAAAGGACAAAACTTGGTCAACATGATCTTTGTAAAATATATCCCAATCTCTATAGCTCTCTCAATTATTTTTAGGGATGAGACCAATTATTTTTACTAATATATTAATTGCAAAATTCAATAATTTTATATTTTTATGATGATATTTTTGACAAATAACAATTTCATACTAATTTCATATTATTAATACGTCTTTATAAAATGATATAATTTGTCAAAAATAGACACCATTGACTTGAAAACTCAAGTCTACCTAACTAACGAGTTAGACACATTTTTCAATCAAATACATTGCTTTTGGAACTTATTACAATGTCATTGATCCCTAATTTTATAAATAAAACAAAGACGAATATTGAATCTGGAATGGTAAAGCTAGAGTCGACTCAAGAAGTGGATTGAATAAAACGTATCATCGCAATAAAACGTAATTAAATATGTTGTTATACTATTCTAAATAAAACAGTTTCATTATATTTTGATGTCATTAATATTATTATATGTGGTTATTGTTGTATATTCATTCATCACCTTTCCAAAAGACAAGAATCATGTGCAAAATTTGTACTTCAATCTTGGGGAGTTCATCAATCATTATGATGATCAACAACCATTTAATGATGTAGAAAGACAAGAAGATAAGTTAGTGTTTACGCATGGTCGTGGCAGTATCAAGAGTACAAATCGTAATAGTTTGAAAATATTGATTTGCCCTAAAGATGGAGAGCAAATCGATCATACTACCAATGTTGTTTACAAGAAAGTGTTTCAAAAATGTGGAAATTGTAGAAATCTCATTGTAATACTTCGTATTTTTTTATGATTTGCGGGTATGCTGTAAGGGTATAAAAACTGGAAAAATTCTAATTCACCGAGAAGATGATAATGGCCAAAATCTAGTCTATGAAAACTACCAAATGACATAGCAGAGAGGCAAGTCTTATTGCTGGATCCTTTCCTGGGAGCTGGAAATTCAGCAGTTCAGGGAATAGCAAAAAAAACTTTCTGTTTTCAGTTTTCATCTTAATCTACATAACCTTACCATTAAACGATGGAGTCTATATTAGACTTTAATTTGGACACTAGCAACAGCAAAACTTTACATTGCCAGTAAAAAAAACCACTAGGACATTCAAATATGTGCCAAAGGAATTAAGCTTGATAAAAATGAAAATACAGCTAAAAACATCACTAAACAAGTCATTTGCTAGAACAAGGAACTTCTCTATTTCGCACTAAGTTTTGTATTCTTCGAACAAGGTACTTCCCTGTTTTCTTATTTTGAACTTATTCCTAAACTGTGCGAGTTCTATCACAAGTAGTACGGGCTATGTTACTAAACCAATGGGATATAGAATGAATATGGTTTCTGGGTTTTGGTAGGGGCAGTCGCACACTTCGACATGGTTTGATCTAATTTCTGACCATCAATGCTAAGGGGTAATAGGTTTGGTCTAATTTGAACCTTAACCGGGTAAATCAGTTTTGATTCCAATTAAAATAAAGTATCGAAATTAAGACTTCTTCCAAGTCTTAAACAATTTTGAAAACTGAGAGGAAGTAAGTTGCATCCAATGTATTCATCAAAATGCCTACAAGGGACTGCTCACCACTAGATTTTACCAGATGCCAAAATTTGTTGCATCTTATTATATGTAAGTTTGAAAAGTATCAAATTTCTCATTTTTTTGAAACATTTTCAGTAAAACTGAACACATTGTACACAAGGACAATTGTTTTGTCTAGGTTGATGAGACATTATAAGAATGAGTGGAATTGGGAAAACTCCTTATAGTATGCTGAAATAATTATAAGTAACAAAACAATGTGTTTATCGAAAGCATCTTAACGTCATTGTAGTTTTCGAAAAACCAAACATCTGCTGAAAATTGAAAACATGGTGTCGTGCTGTAAAATCTCTTTTGATATTTGAAGCTGAGTTTGAAAGGGCATATGCGGCTTTTAAAAATAATCTACCATTGATTTATTGTCTGAGATATACTACTTATCAATCTCCTTTGAATTGCCACCCTCTTAGAGTGCCAGACAAGTTTAAGTTTCAAACAGGTTTGTCGTATACAATTCTTGTATTTTAAGTTCACCAATAAATGATTTAAAAATATGCTCTGCAGTTGCAAGATTCTTCAAAAAATTAGCTCTCAGCAACTGAGAAGTTGATATAAAAGAAAATATGCATATTAAAGAAAATAAGTGGATGTACTTACTTGTGTTAGTGTTCTGCCTTTCTCTTCTCCTTTACTTCTTCATTACCTTCCTCTTCTCCCGATTCCTTGCTATCCCTTTCCCGACGATTCATTCCTATCCCTTTCCCGACTACTTCCTCCTACACCCCCTACCCCCTCGACTACTTCCTCCTGAGGATTACCCTTTTTATTCATGTTGACAGCTTCATATGCTTTCCTATTCTAACAACTTATTGTTTTCTTTTCAATTTCTTATTCCACTTGTAAATAACTGCACTTTGATCTTTATTCACTGCATACACTGCAATCTTTTGAACACCAAACTCTTGGTCTTCGCTTTGGCAGTTGTAGTGAACCGGTAGTACATTAAGATTCCTTGTGACAGACAGTAAGAACTTATTTTCTACTTTTTTAGTGAAGTGGGTGCTCTATTTCTATTCTTATTAAAGTAAGTTAGGATAATATATTTAGATGATGAAAGAGATCAGCTTAATTTTTAAGAATAATTTTAGAGTTTACGTTGTAGTCTGAAATTTTAGAGGTATATTAAAAATAAATCTCTTAAACAATGGCTACGGTAGTGATTTTTTATAACTAAGTTATATAATATTTTCAGGTTAAAGTAGTGTACAGGAATGAGGAAAATGATAGGAGAGGAACACTGACCGAAATGATGTGGCGTTGTGATAAAGCTTGTACAACCTGTTAAAATATGCAATGAAATAGAGGCGGTGGTTTACAAATATAGTTACACACGGTGTTGTTATGTTTATGGCAAAAATGAAAATAAAGATTTGTAAAGTTCATATGACAGGAATATTGCTTTGATAAGACCAAATGTATTGAGGCAGGAATTATTTATAAACTAAAAGTTTTTCTTGTGTGGATTATAGCATTTGTTAGTGGAAGAGAACAAAATGCAAACATCATTTAAAAACCGGTTCTTTTGTAAATGCTGTAGGTGTGATTGAGTGTTGTTATGAGTCTCACACAAGCAATTCTTTTGTAACCGGCAATTCATTAAGTGTTCTTTTGCAAAACATAACATGACGATCGGCTCATAACAAACGGTGATACAATAAGACTTAACCGGGTAAATCAATTTTGATTCCAACTAAAATTAAGTGTCGAAATTAAGACTTCTCCCAAGTCTTAAACAATTTTGAAAACTGAAAGCGAGTAAGTTGCATCCAATGTATTCATCAAAATGCCTACAAGGGGCTGCTCACCACTAGATTTTACCAAATGCCAAAATTTGTTGCCTCTTATTATATGTAAGTTTGAAAAGTATCAAATTTGTCATTCTTTTTGAAACATTTTCAGTAAAACTGAACACATTGTACAAAGGAATATATGAGTGATTAAAAGTGATATTTTGAATATTGAGATAAATGATATTTTCAAAGGAAAATCAGTTGGAGTTGTCTATATGACTATGAGTTGAAAACTTGGTTTGTTGATATTATTTTGACTAGTATTAAGATACTAGTTGGACATCAAAATGAAATGTCGTTAAAGATTGATCCTAAGGTTGGATTGTGAAATGTTATGCCTTAAGTAGTCTTAAGAGATGCTTTAAGGTAGGAAAGTATGAACTTTAAGTTATACTAGGGGTAGGCCTTAAGGGATACCCAAGTTAATGCAAATATTAAATTGATCCTAAGTATAGGATTGACCTACGGGTGTGTTCGATAGTCCTTGTGGATAGCCGGTCGAATTATGGCAATAGTAAGGATCATGGCCCTTCCCGACTCTAGAGAGCGGGGTTGGATAGCATGGACTTACATCGTCATCACGGGTTAGGGTGGAATCCGAATCGGAGACCTAACTAGGTTCCGGTAGCGGTAACACATAAGATAGGACCCCGAAGGGCCTTACCTTCCTACGGGATGATGGGTACGAGTCCAGGGGCGGGATGTTGGAATCCGAACCGGGAGCCTCATGAGGTCTCGGACAGTGGTAGCAAGTCCCGTAGACATAATAAGACCCGAGGGTTGGGTTGTGCAAATGATAAATGAAAAGGAACATATAAGAAGGGCCGTGTGCTGACAGATAAATAAATTTACTTATTATAAGGATAATAAGTGGGAAATATAAATTACTATTTATATGATGATATCACTCTATTTTGAGGGTCTTGGAAATTAAAATGTTAATTGTACTTAGTATAGTTGCTATTGTACTTGTCAAATATTTCCAAGTACTGACCTCCCCTTCACGGGGGAGGCCATCTCACAGTTTCAGGTAGGACTTGAAGGTTGCTACCGGTGCCCGTTGCTCGGGATATTCAGAGGAGAAGACGTGGTTCGTGCTTCTTCTGTTTTTCTGATTTCAAAACAATTATAACAGTGCTCATGGATATTATTTTGAATAACTATTTGGGGGCTTGCATGCCCATGTATGCCAAAGTGTGGCTAAGACACTTTTATTAAATACTTCCGCTGTTTTAAATGAATGTTTTACATTATGTTTGTTTATGGATGTACTATGTGTGAATGATATTCATGACGCCTTGTATAGTATGGATGAGTTGGACTGCGGGTGACTATTCGTACTGTACGGCGGGTTGTTGACTTGTCCGGCTAGGTCCGGGGCGTGACAATTTAATTGGTATCAGAGCCTTAGTCCGTAAACATCATAATGAAGCTTCAAAATGCTTTTTGAAAAAGAAATTGAAAACCATGAGCATAAAGTTTTGTACTTATAGAACTTTTGGTACTTGAGTTGCAATGTCTCTAATTGTTAAGATGGTACTCTTAACAATTGGTATGGCGGTGATTTGAGCCAAAGGATGTCTTTAAGCGCCTATCCGTCAATTGACATTTGAT